ACTTTGTGTCATCTGCAAATTTGGTTACAATACATTCGCTTATTTCTTCCAAGTCATTCATATGGATATTGTAAATTGTTGCAATGTCAGCACTGATCCCTGTGGCACACCGCTGGCTAGATTTCCAACCTGAAAGAGAACTCCTAACTCCTAACTAATTTCTGAAGGAGGGTCTAGGCCCAAAACGTCAGCTTTTCTGCTCCTCTGATGCTGTTTGGCCTGCTGTGTTCATCCAGTTCTACACTTTGTTATCTCCTAACTCCCATTCATTGTTTCCTGCCCATTAGCCAACTGTCTATCCAAACCAACATCATGGGTCTTATCTTACAATTTAAGCTTTTGTGAGCAACCTTGTTAAATGCCTTCCAGAAGGCCAAATATAACACATCTACTACTTTCCCTCAATCGATCCTGGTTAAGATTTCCTCGAAAAACTCTAAATTAATCAAATACGATTTCCCTTTCATAAAGCCATGCTGATTCTAATTGATTAGATTAGGATTTTCCAAATATGCTGTTATTACTTCCTTAATAATTGATTCCAACAATACATATTAGGTTAATCAGTCTATAGTTAGTTGCTTTTGGTCTCCCTCCCTTTTTGAATAGGGGTGTTACATTGGGAGGTTTCTAATCCTCTGGTACTGCTACAGGATTCAATATTTTTTGGAAAATTACAACCAATGCATCCATTACGTCTGTAGCTACTTCCTCTCGGATCCTCAGACTTACACCATCAGGACTAGGGAACTTAAATGCTTTCATCCCATAAGTTTGTCTAATTCTACTTCTCCAGTGATGGTGATGGTACTTAATTCCTCCCCATATTTATTAGTATTAATGAAACATTTGAAGTATCTTCCACTATAAAGACTGATGCCATCAACTCCTCTGCCATTTACTTGCTGCCCCCGACTTCTCCCCAGATTTATTTTCTAAGGGACCTATGTTCACTTTGACCACTATTGGCCTTTTTATATATTTCAAGAAGCTCTTATTATCTCCTCACCAGTTTGCCCTCATGGTTTATTTTCTCTCTATTATCCTTTTAGTTTTCCTTTGCTGGATTCTGAATTTATTCCAGTCTTCAGACCGATCACTGACTTTTGCCTGCTTGTATGCTTTTTCTTTCAACTTCATACATTCCTTAACTTCCTTGGTCAGCTATGGTTGGTTTATCCCTCTCAGAATCTTTACTCCTTACCGGGATACATTGTTGCTGAGAGTCTTGAATTACTGCGTTAAATGTCTACCATGTTTACTCACTGTCTTTTCTTCCAATCTATCTGCCCAGTGCACTTTAGCTAATTCCGTTTTAAGTTAATTACAGTTGTTTCTAACACAGATTTCTCACACTCAAACTGAATATTAAATTCTATCATGTTATGATCACTACTTTAGGGGATCTTTCATTCTGAAGTCATTTATTAAACCTGCGTCATTATCAGCTCCAGGATAGCCTTTTCCCTGGTTGGCTCCAGTATATATTGCTCTAGGAAACTATCCTAATGCACTCTACGAATTTATTGTTGTAGATACCCTTTCCAACTTGGTTGATCCAATCAACATGAAGATTGAAATCACCCAAATTATTGGTCTATTCTTTTAACATTATATCCTTTCCTACAGTATGGCTACTGTTTTGGGGTAAATACACTACTCCTGACAATGTTTTCTTTCCCTTGCCGTTATCTACCTCCATCCAAATGGACTCTACATCTAGATCATCTCTTACAACTGTCCTCACTTCAGGTCTTATTAACAGTGCTACCCCACCTTCCCTCATGTCTTGCCAAAAGGTCAAATTTCCCTGAATGTTAAATTCTACTTTGATCTCCTTATAAACCATGTCTCTGTAGTGGCTACAAGATCATATCCATTTACCTCAATTTTCAGCAGCAATTCATCTAGCTTTTACCGAGTGCTTTGTGCATCAAAACACAGAGCCTTTTTGCCATTTTTAATCATCCTAACTATTCTTTGTACTGTGGCCCTATTGTGGAAGGAGAGAAGGAAAGAGTGGAAAAGAGACATGGGGGAAGAGAGAGAGGAAGACAGCAAGAGCGAGATGGCACGGAAGAGGGGGGGGGGGGGGGAGAGGAGGGGACGGAGAGAACGAGAGGGAGTGCAAGAGGGCAAGTGAAGTGGGGCGTGGCAAGAGCGCGCATGAGAGGGTGAAGAAAGTGAGCGGAGAGAGTGCAAGGCAGAGGGGGAGGGGAGGGGGCAGAGACAGTGCACAAGAGATCAAGAGGGCGCGTGTGAGGGCGAGAGGGAAGGGGCAGATGGCACTTGTGGATGAGAAGGGGAGATTGGAGGGGCAGAGAGCATGCACAAGCACAAAAAGGGTGGGGGGAGGGGGCGGACAGCGCATGCATGTGCAAGAAGGGGAGGGGAGAGAGAGTGACAGCTAGAGCGAGAGGCGGGAGGGAGAGAGAGTGTGGAGAGGGTTGCGGGAGTGTGGGAGACATATGGAATGGGACAGAGAAAGAGCAGAGGGAGAATGAGAGAAGTGCAGGAAGGAAAGTGTGGGACAGACAGCGGCGGGGGGGGAGGGTAGTGAGATTGAAAAGGAAGGAGAGAAGGAAGGAAACTGAAAGACAAGTTAGAAACGGGTAGGGAAGAGAGTATAGAGGGGGGAATACAGGGTGCAAAGAGGAGAAGAGGAAGAGAGCTGAGTGAAAGAGGGGAGATAGAGAGGGAAGGGAGGAAGAAGGTAGAAAGAAGGGTGAACTTAATTTTTTAAAAATCATCAGTAAGGGTAATTGCCCACTAGATGGCACACCTCTAAAATGCAAGAAAGTTATTTGTCAATTTGGGGCAAGATATAATCAGCAATTAAATTGCAAAAACAAACAAATATATTATTCATTTCATTGTCTTCTAACATTAAGTTTATATGACATTTTTTATTCATTTACAACTTTCATATCATTGTTAAATCAGTTACTGTGCTCCAGGCTCTCAAAGAAAAGTAGAAAATAGCAAATAGAAGCACAAATAAGGTTAGTAGCTTAAACTGAAGATCACAATGAGAAGACTCTACACCAGGGGATCAGGCATTCTCCCCTTACATTTCTGAATTTCTGACATGTAGTTCAATTTGATTTAAAAAAAGGTTAAATTTCACTATTTTTTAAAATAATGGAAAATAACTTGATAATTTGCAAATCCTTTTACTAAAACGTATTAATTTAACCATTAAACAATACAGAGAATATTTATGTACAATTTATGAAGTTATCTGATTATTTGCATCTACCTTTTGGTAAATTTTAAACAGGATATTGTCCATATTTGACGCAATTTTTTTTCCCAAATAATTTTGTTAATTCAAACTTTGTGGTACTTTAATCAAAAGGCTTATTCAACTGGAGTACATGTATTTCACATTGATTTGAACTTCATCAAATTGAAATGATTTATAACTAATAAACATTACCCGACAATGGCTTGACAGTTGGAGCTGAAGGGGGTGGAGGCTTCTTGGGTCGCTAAAGAACAAAAACATGCAATTTAATATTCAATAAGCACATATTCAGTTTAAAATCCCAATACATGCTGTGTCAAAAAATACAGAAGACAATAACTAGGCAGAACCAAATTGATCCAGTATTGATGGTGTAACATCCTGACTAGATCAGCCTAATGTTTAAAAATGGCACATCAGATGGCACAGAAATGTTTAAGACCCATTCTATACAAAATAGTTTCAGTTGGGATACAGTTATAACTTATCATCTGCATTTTACAAACACAGCACAGTGACAACACTGCAGAATGATAGCACTGAGTATATAGTTGGTGGTTAATTTTTAATCTTTGGTTGAACAGATTAGTTTATAATAGGATCCCTGAAGCTCAGTAACCAACACTATTTTACTGGAGGCCATTTCAATAAACAGCTGAGCTAACAAAGTCCCACACGTGTTTCCTGGCTAACTGATTTTAGCCAGATACAGCACACTGGGCCTCTCTAACGTTCAGACAACCAGTGTAAAATGCACATTTCCAGCTTTTGGAGCTAGATCTAAATGTATCACATTATAGTGAGATTATAAATCCCCACCTCTCTATTGACTACCAATTTAGATTAGATTAGGCTGCCTCAAACCAGTTGCAATCTGCAGTATTAAGCAGCCCACAAGTATAAACTCCCTCTCTCTTTCCCTTTATAAAAAAAATGTGAAATCAGTTCTAAACTGATCCCTTATTTTTAGGTTGGGTTGGTGTGTGGGGGTGGATTTATTTTAAAGCTGACTGTGCTATTAAAGAGAAATTGGTTCCATGTTTTGGAACTTCAACACTTGTAATACATCAATATTTTCTAATGAACCACTTATTCACCAAAAAGATGAGCTATGCTAAGCAAAAATTCCAAAGAACTCACTCACAAACAGAAAAATCACATATGATGCTAACCAACCAACAACCCATCCATACAAGAAGTCCATACTTTCTCCCCTACCTGTTCTCAACCAAATGCTCCACAAAGTTTTGGAAACACGTAAAGGCTTCAGGTTAAAGAAAGGGAACTTCAACAGGATTTGAAAAGAATACGTTGGACAGAGCCATGCCTAATGTTTTGCTTTTGTTTTCCTCTATTATCCTTGCAACCTGCTGCAGCTAACAGCACCCAGCAACCGAAACTATGCAGGTCATGGTTCAAAAACAAATGGTTTTCTTTGCTGCACTTCTTAGCACCAGCTCTAAGCATTATACACAAATATTAGAAACACTAATTCAAACATTTGTAGCACAGGGAAAGCCATTCAGCTAAATATGTATATGACAGCCAATGAAGAGCTACCAAGGCTGAACATACCTTTCAGTTCTTGCCCACAGCCCTGTAGGTTACAGCACTTCCAATGCGTATTGCAGGTTTTTAAAAACTGTAACGGTGTTTCTTATACAACTGTCCGATCACAGAGTGTTCTAGAAGTACCAGCTGGGTGAAAAGTTCTTTCTGTATCTCCCTTCTAGATATTTTCTAATCAATCTGTTCAGAGATGTAACTACACACCTCTGGAACAGGTGGGGACCTAAATCCAGACATCCTGGCTCAAAAGGCAAGGACACTATGACTGTGTCACAACAGCTCTAGCACTTCCTTTTAATCTTCCTACCAATTATTTTATATCAACATACAATGACCCCTCTACTGATAGGAATAGGTCATTTCCATCCATTCTTTCTAAATCCCTCAACTTTATTATCCTCAATTAAATTTCTCCTCAGCCTCCTATTCCAAAAAACATCCGGCCTATGCAATCTGCCCTTGCAGCCAAAATATTTTAATTATGAGTAACATCCCAGATTTGCTCTGTACATTCTCATGTGCAATTCCACTCTTCCTGTATTGTGGTGACCAGACTTATAAGATGCACTGTAATTTAAATATACAATTCTAGCATAAACCCCTCGCTCTCATATTCTTTGCCTCAGTTAATAAAGTAAATGGATATCGTCTGTAAGATGTAAGTGCAGAGGCAGGATATCAGCCCGTTGAGTCCACCCATCATTCAACGAGATCATGGCTCATCTGATAATCCTCACCTCCAATTTCCTGCCTTTTCCTTATATCCCTCGATTCCCTTACTCATTAAAAATTTTCAGCCTGGAACATACTTAAATGACCCAAACTCTACAATAAAGAATTACACAGACTTACCACCTTCAGAGAAAAAAAAAAAATCCTCATCTGCCTTAAATGGGCAACACCTTGTTCTGCTGTAATGCCTTCTGGTCCTAAACTTTCCTACAAGGAGAAAGAACTCCTCCTCATCAACTCTGTCAAGCCTCCTAAGAATCTTATATGTTTTAATAAGATCTCCTCTCATTCTCCTAAAATCCAATGAGGTCAAGTCTAAAAAGCTAAACCCCTCCTCATGAGACAGTCCATCCATACCTGGTATCAGCCTAGAGAACCTTCTCTGGACTGCTGCTAATGCCTGTACATTTTTTTTTGATATGGGGCCCAAAAATGTTCACAGTATTCCAGCTGTGGTCTGACCAGTACCCTGTACAATTTTAACAAGATCTCCCTATTTTTAATATTCCATTCCCTTTAAAATTCCCTTAGAATATTCTATTTGTCTTCCCTATTACCAGCTGAACTTACGAGTTACCTTAAAACGATTCACGCAGAAGGGCATTTAATCCCTCTGTTCTGCAACTTTTTGCAGTCTTTCTCCACTTCAGCTCTTTCATTCTTCCTACCAAAATATATAACCCTCACTTTCCCATATTAGATATCATTTGCCAAGTTTTTGCCTACACATTTAACCTATCTATATCCCTATGTAGACTCATATTATGTCATCCTCACTACTTGCGTTCCCACCTGTTTTCGTATAATCCACAAACTTGGCAAGCGTACGTTCATTTCTGTCATCAATATATATTGTAAATAACTGCAGCCCAAACACAAATCCCCGTGACTCTCTACTGGTTACAGATCACCATATGGTGAATGCGCTCTTTATCCTTAGTCTCTTCTTCTATGTAGCCAACACTCTGTCTATTCAGATATCCTACTCCTAACACCATGGCCTTGTCTCAGTAAGTAGCTGTATCTGCTGTACCTTGTCGAATGCCTTTTGGAAATCAAAATATATTGTATGTACTTATTCACTTGTCATATTTCCCTTTTTACATCCTATGATATGACTCTCCAGAGCAGTTCCCACAACAAAAACAGTTCAGTTCAAATAAGCCATCCAATTGTTGTTTTCTTGCATCCTTCTTTGCCAAACATGCATTTCCCTGCTGTATTGATTCAGATGCTATTAACATTTCCTTTCTATTTATGTCCACTGCTTTTCCTTTGTGGTTTTCCATGGATTTTGGACATCAGTTTTCTCTCTAGAAAGCTAGTTTTGAGCCTTGTTCTTCTTCCTTTTGACACCTAACTTTTATTCACTGAAGCAGCATTGGGTAAGGTTGGAGCCAGCAAATCATTAAAGTATAGGGCCATAGTCTTCAGTGCCTCCATGTTTCTCATGATCACAGTTCCTGACAACACCAAGTCAGTTATAATAGAAATTCAAGTCCAGTTTTACTCCACTGTAAATTATTCAAAGCACTGTAGATGATTAAAAATGATCCAATATTTAACTTCCCTCAATATGCAGGGAAAACACAATCAAGTAAATCAGCAAATTGCTTACAGACTTTATTATATTTGCACAACCCACCCCCAAGCCTCATTTCAAGAGTTGCTTAAGTTCAAGACTCAGTTTCTTGCCAAGAAAATAACACTTTACAAGTCCAGTCTCAGCAGACACAAGAGAACAGATGGTGCTGTACTGTGCAATTTTTAATTCAATATGCTTGTGGTCTTTTGGGTATAAATTAAGTTGCACATTTTCATAAGCCTGTCTGATGCCTTTAAAAGCAGAGGAACAATGATAGTTCAAAGTTACAAGTGGCAGAAAGGTACTTACTTCTTTTTCAAAGTCAGGTGGCAGAAGTTTCACAAAGTTATCTGGAAAAACTCCCCGTTTACCATTGATTTCTCCTTCCCACCATCCAGCATCTGCACATTCCTACAGGAAAAGAAACAACTAGATCTAGCAATTTTCCCAGCATTAACAATTATAATATAGGATTCTCAACCATCCCAGAATGAAGTTTATTTCCACCACACCCCACCACGAAGTGCTACTTTCAGCAGCCTGTGGATCAGTGATTTTAAACTTTATGTCACAATAGCCCACACTTCACCTAAAGTTACTGGTTAGAAAAGTCAGCATTTCCTATGAGAGCCAGGCACTGCAGCAGTAAGTGGTGTATGAGAATGGCACTAGCAAAGGCGTAATCAGTTAAGGGATTGGAAACCTGGGGACCTTACTGAAATGTGAATGATATTTCCAATGATGGGAGAATAGGGAACAGAAACAAAGGATTCTCATCAGGGCAGAGAAAACTTCCTCAACTATTATACTTTATGTAACTTTTGAGGTAGAGACAAAACATTATTGTCAAAGGACGTAGGACATATATCTGGGTATGGGTTACAATATTTGGTGATATGGGGGTGGTGCGGGGGAGAGGAATGGGAGGCATTCAGGCAATGCAACCGTAACAGAGAGCACAATCACTAAGGAACAAATGATTTCTTCCTTTGTTGTAATTTCTATAATTCCACGGAAATATTCCTTTTTGAGCCCGAGCTAAAGGAATGGTTTAGAAATGTTGGTGCAAACCATGTTCAGGACAATGTGCCCTCCGAGAATTATCCCAAAAACCAAGCTCACCATCCTTTGTGCAGAGCTTTTGTGCTCTTTTTGACATGTATATTCCAACTACAAAAACTCTTGGTTTTGACCAAGATTCCCAACTCAGAATGCCAGCTCTATATGTAACCAGGATTGAGGACAGAGTCCAAGGAGAGATGAAGTCTGTTAAAAGTGGCAATAACCTGAAACTTGACCTTACCTTCTGCAGAAAAGTTGGAAATCAATTTAATCAAGACTATCAGTAGGTCATCACATTACTGTTTGGTATTAAGGGAATGAGTGTCTTCACTAATTATATTGCTAACTCACTGAAATTGCACTAACAACCATTAGTCAATGGTAGAATCAGAGTTTCTTTCCTCCTCCTGATTTTTCCTCTGTGAATCACTCTCCTTCAGATTTCCCTCTTCTCCACTCGCTTACCTGCAAAGATAGCCTCTTAGTTCTTGAAACATGTACAATAATATTCTTAAGCATATGGGATTTGGGTAATTCCAAGCAGGGGACCATTGTGTGATCAGACATGACATAGGGTCAGACATAATTTTATCAAATTCCAGGTAGGCTCCAACCAAATTGGCAACCTTACGATAAGATCTATACAGGAAGAAACAGATTAAAATACATCCAATTAGCCTTCCCATATTTACAGATGCTAACAACTGGAGTCTTAACTGCACCCAATGGAATAACTCACAATAAATTCTAAAATGGTGCACTGAGCATAGCATGGATATTACAGCTGCTCCTGAGACACAGGCTTATTTCTAAATTTACTTCCAGATTTCTTAGAGTCATGAATAAGAAATATTTGGAGGGGTTTGGGCCAAGTGCAGGCAGGTGGGACCCAGTTTAGTTTGGGATTATGGTTGGCATAGACTGGTTGGACCAAAGGGTCTGTTTCTGTGCTGTATAACTATGACTCGAAGAATAGAGCCTTCCATTATTCCCATTTAACTTCTGCAATTTACACATTTTTTGGAGATTCGTAATTTCAATTGCATTATGTGAAATGCAACGTGGGATAATGAATGTTAGATCAATTGTAATTTTCAATACAATCAATTGCTGGTAATACACAGTCATCTTGGAGCCACCTTCTGTAGTCTTCCTGACACCTCCGTTCCTCAGCGGACTTTTGCATTTGTGCAAAATTCACCTTCTGCATAGTGGTCATTCTGTTCACACATGTACAATCATAACCAAGATAAAAACTTTTTAAACGTGCAATTCATTCTTTCAAGCAAAACAAAAAACAGCAGCAGCCCTAACAAACTATATTTTTGTTAGCAATACTTCATTATGTTTTGCCAGGTTTTAATTCTGCAGAGTTTTATTATTACTGTACTGTTTTGATTTCAAAACAGGAATACTCATTGGAACAAAATAAGTCAAGAACTATAAACAGAAGTGATTATACACTTTCTGGCACCTGAATTCTAAGGCAACCTTAAACATGCATTTTTAGAACACTGCTAAAGTTTATAATTATTTTATCCAATATAATAAATTTCCTGGCTTCAGAAAAATTGTCAATTTCTGTTATCCACTTTAAATTTCATCCATTTCAGTTGATGCTGATCTGACTTCCATTGATTGCCTTTCACATCTAAAGCGTGGGGGCTCTGGTATTATGTCTAGTATCATGTGTTAGCTGTGGGTTAGTCAGTAACATTCTCAACTCCAGGTCAGAAGGTTTTGGTTTTAAGTCTCATGTCAGCACATGAGCATAAAAACCAAGACAGATACTGTAGCACACTATAGCGAATGTCCTACTCTGTCGGTACATCAAGGCCCCATCTTCCTCAAGTGAACTTAAGAGATCACATTTCACTGAAGAGAAGGAGCTTAATCCTAGTGTACTGGCCACGTTTTCCCTTAATTAACATCAATAGACAGATTACCTTTTCATTCTCATATTGGTACATGGGGAAGTTCGAAGTATAAAATTTGGCTGCTTCCTACATTAGGACAGTATCTACAATTTGAAACAATTCAATAGCAGCAAAATGTTTTGAGACATCAGTCGGTTATAAAAGGTGTTAAATAAATGGAAATCTGTTGTCTTTTTGGGGATTGTCCATGATTGCTTATTTGTAAAGTGGTTTTGTGCTGTGGCTGCGTCAACGCTGACAGGATGTGGTTGTCCACTGTCTAATTCAAGGATTAGCTCATCCACCTTTCAATGTTGTGACCTCTGTTGAGTGTCCCTTGCCCTTCCTCCAGGCACCTATCCAGAAAATTCCAAACCAATCTATGGCACTCAACAATGACCAGTTCTAGGGAGCAACTTACAGGTTACAGGTCTAATATTTAACCCCTGATTAGGAATCAAAATCTACTTTCCTCTTGTTTTACACCCATTACTTATGATCCTGTTATCATTCTGTCAACTACCCAAAAACTAACATTTTTAGTTTCAGTTCCTGCTTTCTTTCCTAATTGTAAATGTTGTATTCATTCCAGTTACACTTGAAACCATCTCATTTCTCTTACCTGCAACTACACCAGTCAACAATATTCCAGCTGCAGCATTACAATCAAAACTGCAGAGTTTTCTAAAGTTGCCATTACTACAACTATACAGACGTCTCCTCATCTGCTATGCCTGAAGTTAACTATGAGAAGGGGGGGTTAGTCAACACAGGACGGAGGGTGTTGTACTTAAATGCACACAGTACATGAAACGAGGTAAATGAGCTTATACAGCAGATTGAAAGTGGCAGGTACCTTGTTGAGAGTATCACAGAAACATGGCCACAACGGGATCCAGGTTGGTAACTAAATAAACAAGGATACACATCTTATTGAACAGACAGGCTGATGGGCAGAGGAGGTGGAGTTGCCTTATTAGTAAGAAATTAAATTAAACTGAAAGCAAGAAGTGATATAGAGTCAGAAGGTCTGGAATCTGAGAGAGTAGAATTGAGGAACCACAAAGGAAAAAAGACCCTGACGGGAGATGTGGGCTTCCTAGCAGTAGTCAGGATGTGGGGAAGAAAGTAAATCAGGAGGTTGAAAAGACATGCAAGAAAGGCACTATTACAATAATCACGGGGGACTTCAATATGCAAACAGACTGGGAAACTCAGATTAGTAGCAGATCCCAAGAAAAGGGAACAGGCAATTCTGGATTTGATGATGCATAAAGGGGCAGACTTGAATAGGGAGCTTAAGGTGAAGGAACCCCGAATAGGAAGTGACCATAATATGATAGAATTTACCCCGCAGTTTGAGAGGGAGAAGCTGGAATCAGATGTAACAGTATTATAACTGAGTGAAGGTAATTACAAAGACATGAGAGAGGAGCTGGCTAGGGTTGACTGGAGGGGGAGTCTAGCAGGGAAGACAATGGAGCAGCAATGGCAGGAGTATCTACAGGTAATTTGGGAAGCACAGTAGAAATTCATCCCAAGGAAGAAGAAACATACTAAAGGAAAACCATGACTGATAGGGAAAGTCAAGGACAGCATAAAAGCAAAACGAAAAGCATACAATGTGGTGAAGATTAGTGGGAAGCCAGATGATTGGGAAACCTTTAAGAGCCAAGAGAGGATAATTTAAAAAAGAAATAAGGGGGAGATGATGAAATATGAGAGTAACCTAGCTAGTAATATTAAAGAAGACAGCAAGACTTTTCTTCAGCTATCTGAAAGGTAAGCGAGAGACAGGAGTGGACATTGGACTGCTGGAAAATTAGGCTACACAAGTTGTGATGGGGAATAAAGAAATGGCAGAGGAACTGAATTGGTATTTTGCATTAGTTTTCGCAGTGGAAGACACCAGCAGCATACCAGAATTTCAAGGAAGGAAGGGGGAAGAGGCGAGTATTGTGGCCATCACGAAGGAGAAGATGCCGGGGAAGCTGAAAGGTCTCGAGGTGGATAAATCACCTGGACAGATGGACCACAGCCCAAGTTCTGAAGGTGATAGCTGAGGAGATTGTAGAGATCGAAATGGGGAGGCGATGGCTTAGTGGCATTATTGCTGGATTGTCGACCCAGATAACGTTCTGGGGACCTGGGTTCAAATTCCACCACGGCAGATGGTGGAATTTGAATTCAATAAATATCTGGAATTAAGAATCTAATGATGACCATGAATCTATTGTCAGAAAAACCCATCTGATTCACTAATGTCCTTTAGGGAATATCCTTTAGGATAGCAGTTTCCTGGCCTACAGATGATTCCAGACGCACAGGAACGTGGTTGACTCTTAACTGCTCTCTGAGAAATTAGGGATGGGCAATAAATGCTGCTTAGCCAGCGACGCCCCTTATCCCATTAAGGAATAAAGAAAGAAAGAA